TGGGTAGGCACATTCTGGGATTACTAGAAATGAGTGGGATACCCGGCCCTTCCCTAAATCTACTGTTCTTCGGGTAGTCCATGAATAGGACTTTGTTCCTGTTGTTCCCTGTACCCATGTAGTTCTGGAGGGCACTGGCCCTCTTGGCTCCAATAAAACCAAATTCTGGGCACCAGTATCCACCATAAACTCAATTGGTTTCCCCTCTATTTTCAGGGTTACCCTGGACTCAGGGAGGGGACCTGAGCCCCATCTCCCCTAGTCACTGTCTTCACCCCCAATTAGAGCTGGTAATACCTTAGCTGATTGCTTATTCTTCTTGGGGCAGTCCTTCACCCAGTGCCCTTCCTCCTTGCAGTGCACACACTGGTTTTTCCCTACCTTATTTCGTGATCTGGATCCCGCTGGTGAGCTCCCTCCGTACTGGGGGTTGGTTGCCAATAATATCTCTCTGAGGTCCTTTTTGTGGCAGGCCTGCTGTCTCTCCAGGACCCTGGTCAGGCTTGCTTCCTGTCTTTTTTCTTTTCTTTCCTCTCTTTGTTATGCTGTCTCCCCTCTATTATAAACCTTTTCCACCACTGCTATTAAGTCCCTAAGGTTCTTTTCTCCTAGTCTATCTAAAGGCTGTAACTTTCTCTTGATGTCAGGGGCTGCCTGGTTAATGAAGGCAAACATCACAGTTTGAGCTGATTCCTCTGCCTCTAACCGCCGGAAGGCATCTTGTAATCTCTCTATGTATGAGGCTGGGCTCTCTTCAGGCCCCTGTCTGACATCATAGACCTTAGACATATTGGTGGGTTTTTGAGTCGCCATTTTGAGACACGCTAACAGGGTCTGGCGGTAGACCAGGAGCCTCCCCTTACCTTCTGCTGTGTTGTAGTCCCAGCTGGGATGGCTAGGGGGAAAGCTGGCATTAATGATGCCTGGGTCTGTGGTAGGGTCCCTGGTGGGGCCCGGAACCAATTTCTGGGCTGCCTCCAGGATCCTGTTTCACTCCTCAGTAGTGAACAGGACACCCAGGAGCTGGTGGCAATCATCCCACATGGGCTGGTGAGTGAAGAGAACAGTTTCCATAAGTTAATCTAGTCCCTGGGGTTTTCAGAGAAAGGCGCATTCTGTGAGTGCCAATTGTAAAGATCACTGGTGGCAAAGGGCCAGTAATGAAAGGGCTGATTGCCCTCTCCATCTGGGGGCCCCGCTGGCTGGAGGGGGAGGACAGTGGTGTCAGGCTGGGGGGCTGAACCCTCCGGCTCCGTGTGGCCTGCGCAGGTCTCTGTGGAGGCAATGGTGGCTCCTCAGGGTTAGGAGGCAGGGCCTGCACTTGTGGTGCCATTGGCGGGGTGCCCATCTGAGAGGAGTAGGGCGGGGGAAAGATGTTCTCCTCCATGCCTCCCTGGAGAATGGGTTTCTCTTCCACCTTTAGTCTGAGAGGGAGGACCTGCAGAGATGGAGGGAGAGCAGTTGGATTAATTGGGGGAAGGAAGGACTTGACCCAGCCAGGGGGGCCATCAGGTTGTTTGATGAGGCCTCACCAGGTCACAATGTATGGGATCTGGTCCTGGTGGCCTATCCGTGGGTGAAAGATGTGGTCCTCTACCCTGGAAATCAAACTCAGGTTAAAAGTCCCTTCAGGGGGGCATCCAACATTGAAGGAGGGCCAATCAACCGAACATAAAGTTGTCCATTTCTTTTTCTTTACATCTACACTATTGTTATGGGCAATCATCTTAACATGCCCCCAGTGGACTAGTGTAAGATCTAGAGGGGAAGATGGTGCGTTGCCCATAGTATTTATCAGTCCTGTCCGTTTCGTCAACAAAGAAATTAGAACGAAGATCACAAGACACAAGAATGACACAGACAGACAGAAGGCCCAAAATAAACTACCGCAGCTTTCAGATGGTCTGGACTCTCGGCTGTGTGGATTCTCTGGCTCGATTGTGCCAAAGACCGTACAGATAGAACGCACGTGTCCCAACAGGGTCGCGAGGTCCTCTGAGGTTTCAGATGGATTAGTGTCCTGGTGGGGTGTCCAATGGGGAACACCCACCCCAACGAGGATGGGGACTTCTCCCGAATCCTCCAGGTGGCCTCGCTAGCGTTTCAGAGACAAAGAAAAACTGAGATCAGATCGCCGCAACCAAAGTGAAAGCATAGAGAAGACAGGCACACACACACAGTTTTACAAAAACTTACCCGGCCAGTTGATCACAAAACTTTTGGGGTCAGTTCCTCTCGGAGGTCTCTGGGGGGATCCCGGATAAGCCCCAAAATGTTGTACCCCATCCACTGGACCCCAAAGAGACCACTGAGGACCCAACACACCAAAATGCAAAAGCAAAGGTTTATGGTTTATTCAGGCTTAAGCTCGGGCTCTCAGACCACACCAACTCAACGGATCCGTGCTGAGAGCCCAGAGTAAGGGAGAGTGGAGCCTTTTATAGGTTTTAGACAAAAGGGGCGGGGGAAGATACCAAAGATACATTTTGGTTGGTTCAAGGAGCCCACACGCACGTCAACATAATTTTAAACCGATTGGATGTATAAGATGCAGCCCTGGAAGTTTCTTATTGGCAGGTGCTATTCTCAGGGCTGTGGAATGTGCTGACTGTTATCTGTGGGGCCAGGAGTCTCCGTTTTTACCTTATAGGACAGTTTTCATGCCCGGGCTTGCTTAATCTATAGTTTCCTGGAAAGTGGGGTGGGGGGATAGCAGGCGGGGGCCAGGGCATGTCTAGGCATGTCTAAAGCAGCAGCCAAGCATTTTACAGAAGCTAAAAGAGCAATTAGTCGGGGGTCTGGAGGGATTGGGGGGGTGAATGAAGAGGGTCTCAGGGTCCTACAGTACAAGCCTGTACTCTAGCACTAGGGAGGCTGAGACAGGAGGATCCAGAGTTCAAGGTCAGCCTCTGCTACATAGCAAGTTTGAGACCTGCCTGCCGAGGCTACCTGAGACCATCTCAAAAAAAGAAAGGAAAGAAGAAAGGGAGGGAGGGAAGGAAGGAGGAGAGAAAGAACAGACAGAAAAAGAAAGCTAGAGTCTTTTAGCCCTTAAGCAAAGTATGCAACTGGTTCCATTTCTTTTAGGGGACCCAGATAACCTGGTTTAGCTGGCTCCATCTCTATCAGAGGGCCCAGACAACCTGGTTTGGCCCTCAAGGGCCCATGTGTGGGGGTTGGCAGGACAGTTGGCTACCCTCTGTGTTTTGCTCCCTCTGTGTGTGGAATTCCCACTGGAGATGAGGGAAGAGAGAGGGGTTGGAGGGTTGAACTGCAGACCCCTGGTGTGGGGCTGCCAGGGAGACCTGGGCCACACAGCCCCAAGGGTGTAGATTTCTGTGTTCACGAGGGAGGAAAGCTGAGAGTAACTGGGCAGTTTCCCAGAACTCCTCTAACTCCCTCTGCAAACTTTGCTCCTCCTCAGAGCTACGGATCCTACTGCTGTGTGGCAGTGACCTGCTGGAATCCTTCTGTATCCCAGGGCTCTGGAATGAAGCAGATGTAAGTAGCAAGATATGAAGCCCTACACAGCTGGGAGGGGAGGGAGGGGCGGGGAGGGCACACTTGACTTTGGCCTCTGTTCTCTTCTCCCCCCCCCACTGAAATCTCTCACCTCCCGTGCCTCCCCCGACTTCCCAAGAGGGCAATTCATTCCCCTCAGTGTGGAGGAAAATTCTCACCTATCCCAGCCTGTGGACTCTCCTCCCCATGCTCACCCCTGGGAAAAATGCACTCCGAGTCTAGAATGCCTTCCTTGTTCCAAGCACTGTCTGGGGTGTGTGTGTTGGGGGTGGCAGAGACAGAAAGGGAGAGGAAAAAACCTTGATCCTTTGGAGATTATAGTGTGGTTTGTTTTCCCTTTGATCCCTTTGAAGTAGTAAAATACCACTCTACAATCCCCTTAGCAAGAGAAAAGGGTGAGGGGCACAAATGGCTAATGGCAAAGTTAAGAAGGATCCTTCTGGTGACTGACTTGGGATAGGAGAAAGTACCAGCTAAACTTATACCACTCAGAAGCTCCATGATGTCCTGTTATCAGTTCTGACTCTGATGGTCTTAATGCACTCGCTCTTCACACGTTATTGCTCTTCCATTAATTCATGCACCTGACAGCTGAGCTACTAGCTCCAACCCCATAGCCCCATGCAAATTGTTTGTTTTTGAGATTAGGTCTTGCTGTGTAATCTAGTCAACCCTGCCTCAGCTTCTAGAGTGGGCCACCACTCCTGGCTTCCCTGTGCAAGTTTTATTCCCAGAGCAGCCCCCACTGGACACTTGCAAAGATCCAAGAAAAGGATCAGTAGTTTCAACTAGTTTCTGAAACCTCCATGTTCCTGAAAAACAACACTGTGATGGTGACCTACAATCAGGTGTTGTCTGCTAGAAAGCTAATGGGGGTGTATGGCCTAGCTCCATGTGTAACTTCCAAAACTGGTGAAGAAACCAAGAAACCAAACAGCAAGCAGTGCTAGAGGGTTAATTCAGGCTTTCCTTGGGTGTCACTCTGCATCTCAAGTTGTGCCTTAAAATGTATGAAATCTACAGTATGTTATTGACAGTTGTCTGAGACTTTAAAGAAATTCACAGTCCAGATGGGCGTGGTGGCACACACCTTTAGTCCTAGCACTCAGGAGGCAGGCAGGATCTCTGTGAGACTGAGGCCAGCCTAATCTACATAGTGAGTTCCATGTCAACTGGGACTACAGGGAGACCCTGTCTCAAAAAGCCAAACAACAACAACAACAAAACCAAGATTCCAGTTCTATTCCAATACAGCTCATGCCAAAATGTATTCCGAGTTTCAGTTTCTCCTATCTCTACAATGAGCATAATATTACTACTTTCCTTATGAATTTGCTATGTAGCTGAAGAAGATCATGAACTCCAGATCCTCCTGCCTCCATCTCTGCTGGGATTATAGGCTTGGACTACCAATTCTCTTAAATTAAGAGAATTTAACTAAAGTGAAGCAGGCACCCAGATGCAGGGGAAATTATTCAAGGTGAAGGACACACATGTTAACAGGCTATGAGATAATGAGGAGGGCAAGGAGGGTTGAGTGGAGGAAGATGGGGCTGTAACAGTCAGTTCTTTCATCTGCACCCTGGAGCAATTTCCTGCAGGTGAAATCTTAAGCCTCCTTTCAGTTTTGGATTAAGTGATTTATCAGCTTTTGCTTTCCTCCCTCCTCACAAGGTACTGTGAAAATGGAGAGTAATGCCTGCAACTTCTCTACAAGTTCTCAGCAAAGCCCTTTCAAGAAGCTGGGCAAAAGCAGGGCAGTTGCCTGGGGCCCCATGCTATGGGAGGCCAGAGCAGTCTGGGAATTTAGAGAGATGAAGTTGGCAACTGTTGTAGCAGCCTGAAGTGCCACTTGTGTGAGAAGGAAATCCCTGGGGCTATTTACTAAGTGGGACCCAGGGAGCCTCCTCTCAGGGGCAGACCTAGGCTTCCTGGAGCCTGAACACACACCCTTGGGGCCCTAGCTGCCTGGCTAGTCCCTAATCCTCAAATGTTGGCATTTTACAACACCAAGAACAGCAGGAAAGAAATTAGGGCCCTAGGGGTATGTGTTTCAGAGAGACGAGCCCCTGGCCTCTCTCCCTCTGGTTCATCCCTTGTGCTGAGACTGGCATTGGCTGATTAAGAAATGAAGTTTGAGAAGTCAGTAGCTATGGATTTCTCAGGAATTCCACAGGTAAAGAGTTCTTCACTGTTCAAATGTGTTCCCACCTGATGAAGTGAACAGGTCCCAGTGATGACTGGCTTGACTTTTTGGATTCCTCAGGGTCAGAGAATTTCAGTCAGTTACTGGCAGTTGTGTGGAAAAGATGGGGATTCTCCTGGCTCATTCCCAGCTCCTAGTCTGAGATGCATAATTTTGGAGCATTCTTGTGGAAGCCAAGGAAGGATGAGCTAATGAACCAGGTGCAAGGAGGGCTACCTGCTAATCTCACTTTTCCCCAGGACTTTGATGGATTTAACAAAGTCCCAAGGCTAAGGATTTGTAGCTTGGTGGTAGAGAGCTTTCCTTGCTGTGTAAGGCCCTGGATCAAATACCCTGTACTATAAACAAACAAACAAAAATCTAAAACCTGGAGCTAGGGATGTAGCTCATTTGGTTGAACAGTTCCCTAGAATGCACAGTGTTCTGAGTTCGAGTCTCAGAACTATACAAACTGGGCGTGGTTGTGTACACCTGTAGATCTCAGCCCTTAGGGGATAGAGGCAAGAGGATCAGAAGTTCCAGATCATTCTGTACTATGTAGTACATTCAAGGACAGCTTAGGTGTTTCAAAAAGAAAAAGAAAAAACTTAAAGTCCCACATTCTTAGAACTCTCTAAGTCTTATGCTAACAACTTCCACAGCTCAAAGATCTAGGATATTCAACCTGGCTACTCTAAGAGGGCATAGCAGTCCTGTACCCTGTCCAAGATGGTAAGAATTCAGTTCCCCTACAGGTAGCAGAATTTGAGTCAAGCAGACCTTCAAGCTTGCCCCACTCAGTGATCATCTTCAGCCTGTGGCCGTCTTGAATCCAAACCCCACTTAACCAATTGTTCCTTCCCAATTGTTCTAGTTTGATTTCTGTTGCTGTGACAAAACATTCCAACCAAAAGCAACTCTCCTTGAAACAAAACCCAGCCTGTTGTGCAGGGATCTGATGCTGCCAGCTGCTCTAGCCGTCATATAACAGGAGAGAGGCAAATTAATTCGGATTTAAGGATTCCTTCCTCAATCACTCTTTTAACAGTGCTCATACGAACATAGCATGTATGTGCCCTTGAGGTACTTGCAAGCTAAGAATATCTTAGTTATTAATACTTACTTCATTATATAACATGAAATTAACCATATAGAAAACTTAGAAGTGTTCCTGAACCCAGTAAATACTCAATAATCATTGTCTGTTATTTCATTCTTTTTTTTTTTC